CTGGAGAGGGTTAAACCAGGCTACTCCTTGGAGGCAAGGATTCTGAGGCTTCATCTGACATACTTTGGCCATGTTGTAAGGAGGGAGAGGTCCTTGGAGAGGGACATCATGCTTGGGACGGTGGAGGGACGCCGCTGAAAGGGAAGACCCTCTATGAGGTGGATTTATTCAGTGACTGAGGTAATCGGGATGGGTGTGTCAGAGGCAGTGAGACTGGCACAGGATAGAGCAGGTTTTAGGGCTGTTGTACATAGGGTCGCTATGAGTCGCAAGCGACTTGACAGCACGTAACAACAACATCATGATGTTGCCAACAGGTGCTTCAAGGCTCCTCACTTTCAGCGAATCAGGTTGTGTCATCTGCATAAAATGTTTGTTAATGAGTCTTTCGCCATTCTTGATGCTACATTCTTTTCAGATTCTAGTTTCTCAAAACAATGTTCTCAGTATACAGGCTAAACAGATACAATATAACCATAACCCACTCCTTTCTTTATTTTGAACTATGTAGGGTTATCTTGCTTAGTTTACACTATCACTTCCTGATCTAGGTATAGGTTTTGAATGAGCATAAAGAAGTGGTCTGCAGGTCCCATTTTCTCAATGTTATCTATAAATTGTTATGATCCACACAGTCAAATGCCTTTGCAAAGTCAATAAAGCATAAATAGACATTCTTCTGGCATTTTTTACTTTTAGCCTGAATCCATCTGACATCAGTAATGGTATCCCTGGTGCCACAGCCTCTTCTAAATTCTGCTTGAACTTCTGGCAGTTCCCTGTGTATGTACTGTTTTAGCAGATTTTTATGATCTTTAGCAGCATTTTTTTTGCATTTGATATTAATAATATAGTTTGATAGTTTCCACATTCTGTTGGATTACCTTTCTTGGGATTGGGAACAATTATGGACTTCTTCCAATCCATTGGCCAAAAAGCTGTCCTCCAAATGTCCTGGAATAGACTGGTGATCATATCCAGGGATACATTTGTTATTTGAAAACAAGTCAATTGTTATCTCACTGATGCCTGGGACCTTATATTTACCCAAAGCCTTCATTGCAGCTTCAACTTTTCCCTTATTATTACCACTGGCTCTTGCTCAAATGGTACTTTATGAAATTTTTTTAGTGCCGGTCAGTTCTTTGGGGTACAGAAAAAAATTTATTTTATACTGGTTTTCTTACAAAGTCCGTACACATTGTTTACACACTGTAATTTTTTTCCATTTCCTTTACTCACTCCTCCCTCCAATTATCAAATTGTTTGACCCTATGATTAATTCTCCATCTTCCTTGCCAATCCTCACCCCTCTGATCCTACCTTGTCCCTTGGATCCTCAGATACATTTTCCAATAATGGTCTTGTCCAGTGTTTGTCCTTACAAGAATGAGTCAGTTCACCTAAAATAATGCTCTCCAGTCCCTCCCAAGTTAGGTAATGATTTAAGAAATCATTGTTACCATTTGCTATGTGGTATACATCATGCGATTGTACCATATTTTCTCAAGCCATTCCATTGTGGTTGGACATTTGGGCTATTTCCGTGTTCTTGTGATGATGAATAACTGTGCTTTGAACATTGGTGTAAGCCTTCTTTTAGGGAAAATTAATTCCTTTTTTGAATGCCCAATTATTATCCAACTGGATTGCATTTTTTTCTCTAAAAACAATAAAGCTCACCAACTAAAACCTTAATCTTTTCAGTGTATCTTAGCATAAGATGAACAAGAACCATAGTCCCTTTTTCAATATATCCTAACATTAAAGAACTTTAATCAGTTTTCTACTATATCTCAACACAGTGTTATGACATACAAATATATAAAGCATTATACATAGAATTTTTTAAATTTAACTTTAAGGTTTTTGTTCTATTAATGTTACTAATTTTATTTTATAGTTATTTGCTTATAAAATTTTTATACATTGTATTTCATATTGTTCTTCACTCACAAATCATCAGGTCATAGCAATTGACACTAGCTCTCAAAATGAAACATCTTCTCTTCATCTGGTTAGGTTCTGGTCAGTATATATTCAGCCATCCATGGCTAGGTCCAAATGGGTATCAGGTTCAAACTCAGGAATCCAAAATAATGCTCTCCAGTCTCTTGCAACATATGTAATTTTTTAAAAAGTATTGCTCCTGAGTGCAATGTAGTATTTCATCATGTGAATATACTACAATTTCTAAGTTCATTCTATTGTAGTTGGATATTTAGGTTGTTTCCATGTTCTTGTAATTGTAAATAATGCTGTTATAAACACTGGTGTACAAATCTCCATTTGTGTCTTAGTTCTAATTTCTTGGGGTCTATTTTGTAGTAGTGGAATAGATGGGTCATATAGAGTTTCTATGTTCAAAGATTTGAGGAAACTCCAAACTGCCTTCCATTTTACAATCCCATCAACAACATATGAGAGTTCCCACCTCTCCATGTCTTCTCCAACATTTATTATCTGCTGCTTTGCTAAACTTTGCCACTGTTACTGGAGTGAGATGGTATCTCAGAGTGGTTTTGATTTGCATCTCTCTTATTGCCAGTAATTTTGAAAATTTCTTCATGTGTTTGTTGGCCATCCAAATGTCTTCCTCTGTGAAAAGTATTTCCATGTCTTTTGCCCATTTAATAATTGGCTTATCCACCTTTTTCTTGTGGAGATCTTGTAGTATTGTATGAAATTTTGTTCTGAGATCTTTATCTGACATGGTATTGTCAAATGTTGGGGTTTTTTTCCCAGTCAGAAAGTTGTTTATGGTTGTGGTTTTTTTTTTCATCCTAGAAAAGTTGGCATTTTTTTTTTAACGTACACAGGGGTAGCCTAATGGTAAGAAATTGCACTGCAACCCCAGTGGATTATGATTTTTAAAGTACATGATGATAACGTACTTCTTCATAGTCTTTCAATAAAGTTGAAAGTACTGTAGCTTTTCTATTTGCTTGTTAATGAGCAGTTGGGTTACTTTCTTGTTCAGGTGTTAAGAGTATTACACAAATTTTAGATTATGAATCTATATCAGATATGTCACTTCCAAATATTTTTCCCAAGCTCTTGGTGTCCTTTTCACTCTGTTGGAGAAATTTTTGATGTGCATTATAAAATAGGTTGTACACAGGGTGGGGAAGAATAGAAAAAAAGAATAGATAACGAGCACTGCACTGGAACAGATAACTGACTGTCTGAAAGGATTGAATGATTAGAAGTTAGATATACAACAGTTAACAATCTGGAATAAGACATGCATTACAAAGCGCATTAGGGGAGGAGGAAAGGAGAAGGAAGGGTGGGAGAAATGTGCATCAATGAATGAATTAAAATTCAACCTTGCTGTAAATTATAAACTTTCATTGAAACTATCATAAACATAAAAAAATGGGGGAAAAAGAGTCCATAGAGCCTCTTAGAGAAACATAAAATTCTGAAATATTTTGTATAATTCTAACAGTATAGTAGAAGAAGCCATGGCCTCCTCAAAAACAAGCAACCTAAACTAGTTGTCCTGGTGACCCACATGTGTCTGAGTAGATCTCTGATTCATAGGCATTCAACTACTGATGCTTCAAAAGTTTATAGCTGTGCCTATCCTTCAAAATATTTCTAGTTTAACTAGAATCATCATATTATTTGTCAGTTGAGTGCTTATCTAACAATTTGTACCTCCAAGTAAATTCTCAGTATTATATATTTATTTTAAATATTTCCTAT